GGGTTTGTAGCAGATTTTATTAGCCCATTCACTTTGCATGAGCTCTTTTTTTTTGTTTTTTGTTTTGGTTTGCTACTCCGTATAATATGTTGGGTGTGTTTCGGAAAATAAAGAAAATTAATTAAAATAAAATGACAAGAGAAAAACAAGAAAGGAGATGAAGCAGAATTAGTCAAAGCTCGTGCTACGCACGATGTCCTTAAAACGTTTTTGTTGCCTCCCACGGTGCTAGGAGCGTTGCAACAATCGTTTCCCAGGATACGATGACTACGAACTAATGTTTGAGCACACAAACAAGAGTTCCAGCGAACGAGAACAAGTCTGAACACAGAATGAATTTTTCAGAATGCTAGCAGTGTGTTTTTAGAGCTAAAACGTGTATGGATTCGTGTAAAATCGTGTGTTGTTGCAAACCACCTGCCAGCCTTTATATAGGAGGATTTGTTGTGTGTAAATGGTGAATTAATGGACGTGAACGTTGGACATCAATGACCAGTCCGTTGGGCATTGAATCGTCCATGAACTGTCCATTTAACGCTGCATTAAAAGATAAGAACGTTGGGCATTAATTGTTGTAACGTTTCAGAAGTGCGACAGAAGACCTCCACCAGAACACCCCGGGAGGGGTTCTGATCGGAGGCCATCAGAGTACCCCCAACTCTGATGGGCGGCCATCAGAACACCAACGAGGTGTTCTGATCCGTAGGCTTCTGTCCGAGCACTTCTGCCGCTGGGAAAGAATTAAACGTTTCGGGAAGAAAACAAAAATTAATCGTATCTCTTGAGAATCTTAACTCCATAAGGGGGGAGTCCCTTTATAAAGGGTAGCAAATCCCTTGGGTTTTCCGGTGTGGGAAATTAACACACTAGAAACCCATCATTTTTCCCTTCTAACAGGTAAACTTCGAAAAGCGATTTCTCATTCACTCGTTATCCGTTTTGAGCGTACCATATATCGAATTGTAGCCCTTAACAAGGACAATCCGAAACCACTTTGACCCGACCCAAATCGGAAGTGAACCCCACTCAAAAATTGCCCCAAAATAGCCATTTAATGCAATTTTTCACACATTTTTCCAACATAATAATTCTCGGTATATCAGATCTACTTACACAATCACACATGATACTTGAACAGTTGCAAAGAAGGATGGAGACAGGGTGAGGTTGGCAGGGGCCTCGACCCCGAACAAAAAACTGTGACGTATATACATGTATATAAATATTTATAAGTCATAAAAAATAGTGAAAATTTAAGGTTTGACTTCTGGAAGATTAATTATAGACTAAAATTAATTATATGAGTGATAGGCGTCATGGGTGTGTGCATGTCCAAGAATATAATCTAATTTCACCAAAACGTAATGTAATGAGATATTACCCAAAATAGGACTAAAAAGGTTTGCAAATTCCAAAATAGGACTGCCATGTTTTTATTCCCAAAATAGGACTAATTACTGTCATGTTTTGGCAGTATCAGACTTTAAACATGGCAGTATTTTCCAAACTTGACAGTAATTACTCCTATTTCGGGAATAAAAAATATGGCAGTCCTATTCTGGAATTTTCAAACTGTTTTGGTCCTATTTCGGGAACTTTCCCTAAGGTAATAGATCATGCAATAACTCTCTTGTACTCCGTATTCAGTATCTCTTTTTTGTCTGGTAGCCAAATCATCAAAATAAGTGAGGTAAATGTCGGTAAACATTTATCATAGTTTTATTAAAAAAGAGAGTACAAATAGAGAGAGGGGCCAAACCAATACCTCTCGTACATTACACACCAACAAACCAAACCAATTAACTATCTTATCTTATACTGCGTATACATCTAGATGTTCTTCATATCTCTCAGGATTGTAAAACTATCAATTTAAAACCTGAATGATTGAAAACTGTCAATCTAGGATCTAAGTCGTTGTCATGAATTTTATTATTATTTTTATTCTAATTTTTTGAATATTATTTATTATTACTAAACTAATAAACTTTTGTGAAGAAAAATTTATCAAAAATTCGCAATGAAATTAATAAAAAAATAAACAAATCAAAACATATGAAATGTTAATACAGATTGATAGTTTTCAATCAAGCAGGTCCTATACTGATACATTTCATCTTTCAGGTCCCGAATTATATTTATAATTTATCATCTTTTAGATCTTGAATTGATAAAATCCCTAGAATTCTAAATGTACCGGTGTGGCATTTCTAATAATCAGTTTTTTCTATGATTAACTTTTAAATAATCTCATAATTCGTTTATGTCTTCCAACCATCATATTCAAATAATTTGTTTTTCTCTCGGTCGGCTGTCCTGCATTAATCTCTATTACATATACTTTTCAAATAATCTTAAAATAATTCGGATTTAGATTTTGATCTCAGATTATTCTAACAAATAATCTCATTAAATGATCTATATATATCACTCAATGACACTTCTCTAAAAAAACTGTCATGTCATTATTTTAATCTCTTAATAATCCTACCAATGAGGATTATTAAGAAACCAACATTTCTTTAATCCCTAAATTGCCCTAATTAACCCCCATTAACTATTATAAGATTTTATTTTATATTTTTAGGGATACGTAGTAAGATACTTCGTATATCGTATATCCCCTTTAGGCAGTGTTTGGTTCAAGGTGATATCCTATAGAGGGCGGAATCTCATGCCCGGAATGTGAGATACCTGTGTTTGGTTCGCGGGTTTGTTTTTTTTTTTGGAAATGTTACATTCCCAAAAGTGGAAAAGGTGATCACATTACCAGGCATGTCAAACCCACCAATGCCTTAGGTTTTGTAAGATTCCTGGTGGCTTATTAATTTTCTTCCGAAAAAACCCATGTTTCATTAATCGACATATCTAGGGGTGGACCGGGCCCGGTCCTGTTCTGGTTCCGGGTTGGGCCCGTCCGGGCTTGGCTTTTTGGGAATGTATCCCGGGACCGGCCGGCTATTGACCGGTATGGATTCGGGCCGGTCTACCCGGGCCGGGCCGGGTACATTTTATAATTCATGTTTAAAAATTAATTCAAGAAGTGCTACATATAAAAACAATTAAAGTATATTTATTTGAAACATGAACTATAGTCTACAATTGAGAATTAAGAAAAAAATTAAAACATGAAATCATTTTCTAATAAATAATAATCAATCGGAATCTCCGCCACCGTCGGTTGTTGGTTCCTCCATAAAAGTGTTGGGTGGAGGTGATGCTAAGTTCTTGAGTTCTACGTTAGGCCTTCAACCAATCGTGGTAGCAAACAAGCATCTCAAGAGAGTTTGCATTCAATCTCGTTCTATAATCCGTTAGCACGTTGCCGGCCGGACTAAATTCTTGTACTGCAACAACTGTTGAAACTGACATTGATAGCACTTGCTTAGCCATCTTTGATAAAATCGGGAACGTTCTTTCTTTTATCCTTCCATCACTTTAGAATGTCAAAGTCATTATCTTTTTCATAATCAACAAGAAATGTTAGATACATAGAAAGCTCCTTAACCGAGCTTTGTTCAACAATAGAGATACCTGTTGTTGGGATTTCAAAAATGATTTTTCTTTAAATGAAGATGTTCGTGTCTAAGGAAGAGTTGCGTTTCCATATTGGCATATTGTGAATAAAACTCATTAAATAATTGATAAGTTTAATGTGTTAAGAAACAAATATTTAAAGGGCATTTAAGTAATTCACCAAATATGTAATATAAGATATCATTCAACCAAACAACTTAATGTAATATTTCCATAAGCGTAACCAAACACAAATGGGCTATACATTAATCACATTCCCATCTATCTAACATACCCAGTAATCTAACATTCCCATGGTAATCTGACATTCCTTGAACCAAACATACCCTTAAAGTCAACTCCCGTAAAAGAACGTTAGGAAGCAGGAATATTATCATCGGAGTACGGCTGCATAAATAAATCATAAATAAATGCAGTGTTGAAAGAATGAACGACCAACCTTAATTATTTTCACTTTAAATTTTAGAAATTTCAAAAAGGTACTGTAAATCTTCATTAACTTGTCCGCCGCTTTATTTTTCTTAGAGTCGTTTTGGTAAAACTATATTTTGATTTATCAGGTTTGTCAACCAATTTTTTCATCAAACACGTGACTTTTGCTTTCGCGTGTTGAATTATGTAATAATAAGAAGAAAAAGTAAGGTTGTAGTTATTTTTATGGTTGTATTGGTTGAAGTTACTGTGAATGCCCATTTTAACTATTTTATATAATTTTTTCTTTCTTTTATTAATAAAATGTATTTTAAAAATATTTTTTTCTCAAATCAGCAGAATCAGCCAATGCAGCCACTTCAGCCAGAACTTCATAAATTTCAGCTGAATCAGCCAAATCAACCGATTTTCGTGCTACCAAACGGGCTCTTAGATTGTACATTTATTGGATTGTTTGACATTATTTGGCATTAACACTGACTTTAATTGCAATATGTGTGCGCCACTACGTACTCCAATTTAAGGAAAAGAAGAAACCCACACACCGGTAGAAAATTTGAAACAATGACCAATGATCGAAACTCACACTGGTCGTGTTGAGGTTACGTACAGCTCTTGCGTGCTAGGCTGAACCTCTGGTGCGTATGGTATAAGGTCTACCACCATTGAGCCGACTAAGCCACTGTGACTTACTCCTCCATCGTTCTATCGGATCAGGGATGTGAGGACTCTTGGGGCGAGAAATTCCACCTTTTGGAACAATTTAAAGAAAAGAAAATGCGGAGTATACTTTTTGGAAAGCTGACCGACAGATAGTCAGTCTGCCCCAACAAATGGTCAATATATTGTTACACATAAATGGAATGAAATAAGTCAATTAAATCAACCCGGCCGGCCACTTTAGTTAATGTTTTTTTTGCATTATACCAGTAATCAGGAAGCCCGCAGGCCGCAGTAGAACATAATATACGCCGCTAATTAAAAAGTTTGCCATATATATACACATATATATATTATAAATGGTGATCGATATGAAACTAGCTTAGTTAGGAAGAGGTCATTGGATGGGATCAAAGAATTGCTGGTTCGGCATGGAAAAATATTTGAACATATTGTGGACAGATAATGTGTTTATTTGCAATTGCGGCGTAATTTTAGGCTGGAATGCATTACAAAGTGCGGCGGCTCAAGCTGCAGAAACAGACTCAGGAGGTGATTATAATGTGGGATTAATCGTTGGAATTGTTGGTGCTGTTGTTGTTTTATTAGTGTTGCTCGGCGTCATGGGTGTGCTTATCTATAATCACATAACGAAAGATATAGAGACACCTCCAGGCCAGTCTACTGCAGGCTGCAGCTGGCGGTGCATCTAGCTAAACTAGAGCGCTTCCTCATCTCCACGGCCGCCGGCCTTCTTCATTCTCATTTACTTTCACACCGGTACCACAATATCTGTGTCTTTTATCTCAACATATCTCGATCACATCGAGTCTCATTTTCATATATAACTTCTTTTTTGTTTGATTCAAATTATATACTTCGTATATCTATGTATACATGCGCACAATGCTTAGATTTATGGAGTACCAAGCACGAACGTAATCACGATTCTGTATCACACTGAGCGTGTACAAATTAAGACTTTTTCTGGATAATTTTTTTACACTAATAACCAAAACACTTTTAAAATTTGGGCTGGACCAGAGTCTAACATCGTCCCCTAGCTCTATAATCGGTACCAATACAGGGAGCCTATATCATACAACCGGGTGCACGTACACCTGGCCCAATTGAGGAAGACAGCCCAACAATCAATACATGCCAATTTTTTCGGTGGCAATTTTGTAATTTAAGCGAAAAATCGCGGCTACCGCTAAATGAGCAATATTGTAATTTTAGTGAGCATGTGGCCCATTTTATTGAGTATTAGGAGGCTAACAATGAGTTTCACGATATTTGCTTCATATATTCTAATTCTCTTTCTTTTTCTTATTTTTTCTTTTATAAAAACTTATTAAATTATATCTATAATTCACTCTTATTAATTTCAATATGCGAGTCTAATATAATATGATACTTTTGAAATATGCATTGATATGACATTGTAAAAATGAGCTTTACATCAGTACCAAATGAGCATACATAACTACAAAGTGTACATTGATATGAAAATCGTAAGGTTTTGTTAGTTGAACATCACGAAATTTTAACTGAGCATCAAACATCCGCTATTGAGATGGAAACCACAGTTTCTTATGAATGAGCATTAATGAACTTTTAATGAGCATCTGGTCTATTACGTTGAGTATTAGGAGTCTAATATATGAGCATAAGATCGGTATTAGATGAACATACGTAACTAACACAATGAGCACTAATGAATTTGTTAGTTGGTTTGTTAGTTGAAAAACACGATATTTTCATTGAGCATCACACCTTATCTATTGAGATGGAAATAATGGTTTCTGTTAAATGAACATAAAACTCATTTCTAATGTGAATCTAATGTAGTATGATATGTTTGAAGTGTGCAACCTTTTAAAGTGAGTATAAAACAGTACCAAATGAGCATACATAATTTATACAGAATGAGTATCAAAAAATTTAAAAAACCATTTTGTGTGCTCATTCACTTTGGACCGGAAAAAGTTAAGTGTGCTCATTTTCGTTATACTCATTTGAATTTAACATAAAACTCATTTCTGTCATGCTCAATATGTGCTCAATATTCATTTGTGTATTGATATGACATTTTAAAAAGAACATAAAACCATTATCAAATGAGCATACGTAACTTACAAAATGAGATATAGAAAAACAAAACATTCATATTTAAAATATTTTATAATTGAATAAAGATTAAATTAAAAAGAAAGAAAAAGAAAGAACGAAACAAGTAAAAGCAAGAAAAGAAGAAAAGAAAATACAAAAGCAAAAAACGTGCAACTGATTAGCATAGCACCGGAAAAACGTGTAACTGATTAGACAAAAGCACCGTTTCGGAAAAGAAAGCAACGTAAAAGAAAAAAAAATCAAAACAGAAGTGGTGAAAAACAAAACAAAACAGAGCAGGCGACCCCCATCTTCAGCCGACATTCATGTGGTGGCCGAAGGAATCAGCTCAGCTCAGATGCGTACGACGGACCTTGCTGCATAGGAGAAGTTGATAAAAATTGCAAAAATACCCGATTGTACGGTGAGAACTGTACAACCGGGTGTACGGTATATTTTACCTACCAATACAAGACCACTTTTATTTATTTATCTATGATATACTACGTATAGTAGTAGTATATGGCGAGCCCATGTTAGACCTGCAATAATTCGAAAAGAGAACAATATCAAATAAGCCCCCCAACTTTTCAAAAAAAAACAATTAAGCCCCCCTACTAAAAACTTCATCAATCAAACCCTCAAACTATTAAAAAAGAGGCAGATCCTCTTTTTTGACCGGTAATGAAAAAATTGACTGGTTATTTTGTATCAACACAACATCAGTTTTCATTTTTTCTATTTTTTTCATTTTTCTTTCTTTATTCCTTTTGCTTTTTTACTTTTCTCCTTTACCTTTCCTCTTTCCGTTCCAGCAACCCCCTGTCCTCCCTTCCATCTTCTTCACTCCGTCAATCCACTCCCTCCTCCTTCTCCCAAGTCCCACCTTACCACCGATTATTAGCTCCCTTCCCATCATTTAAGAGGAGTCTTCTATTCTTCACCCCATCCACCGGCTTATAGCTCCGGGAGCCATTCAGAGAATCTCGACGGAAAGTAGCGACCGGCCCAGGTCGTTATTTCTCGTTCAGCAAGACAACAACTCCGGCCGAAGGCTCCTCCTTCCGACGGGTTTGGAGCTTCATTCCGGCTATAGACTCTAGTCGGCGGCTAAGAAGAGGAATAGGCGGAGGAAGTACGCCAGCGAGGAGCCGAGGAGGGTGAAGTGAGGCAAGGAAAAATGAGGAGAGAACTAGGAAGGAGAAGACAAATAGGAAAGAAAGAAGAAAAGAAAGAAGAAGTTTAATTGGCTGAGGGGCAGATCTAGAAGAAGAGAGGCGCACTTGAAGGAAAGAAAAAAGGGGGGAAGCCACATCACTCCCCACATACCCAATCTGATTGGGAACCGGGAGGATACCTCTTAAAAAGAGGATTTGCCTCTTTTTTAATAGTTTGAGGGTTTGATTGATCAAGTTTTTAGAAGGGGGGCTTAATTGATTTTTTTGAAAAGTTGGGGGGCTTATTTGATAGTTTTCCCATTCGAAAACAATATCACTCATATGATTAAAAGAGATATAATTTCCCAATGTATAACTTAATTAAAATTTGTTTTCTTTATCTGATCTGAATGTTTGTAACCTAAAATTTTTAAATTCTGATTTAATCTGATATGATTTTTTCTAATCTGAATTGAATGTAAAAATTGAATGTGAAAATAGTGCAGTCCTGTTAAGACCCGATGTTCCATCCTAAAAGGTCAACCTGATAGGAGGAGTAACTCATATCTTAATAATAGCACTTTGCTGATTCAAAGTTTTTCGGGGTGGGATTCTAACAAGTCCTAATCCCAGAATCTGCCGGATTTCAAATCAGGATCAAATGAAAAGTGGGGTTCAGGGTCAGGACTCATATTGGACTGGCGAGAAAGCAGACTCAGTTCCCCAAGCCTCACTTTTGTAATTCGGGACAAGCCCAGTCTGGTCCACGGGGCTATGGTCCATTTTTTTGCATTACAATAGCCGAGAGGCAAACTAAAATAAATGGAATCCATTTAAAACCTTAAACAAGGCGGGCAGGATAAGGGGTGAAAAAACAATTTTTTGGATTAGGACTGGCGGGTGAATCCAAACTGGAAATATAAATCGAAGTCTCAGACCTCACTGTTTTAATTTTTTGATCCAATGTCATACTCCCTCCGTATTTTAAAAATCTCCGACTAGGGGTTGGCACAATATTTAAGGGGGAAATAGTAGGGGGTAATGAATAGTGTAGAAAAAGTAGGAGAGAAAGTGAAAAAGTGATAAAGAGAAGATAAAAAGTAGAAAAAGTAAGAATAATTGAGTATTTTTAAAGGAAAAACATACCAAAAGGGGAAAGTTTTTTTTATGACATAAAAGAGTTGGGTCTCAAAAAAAAAACCAAAAGGGGAAAGTGTAACAACCTTTTAAATGTTGGAAAATGTGTTAGTAAATTGCATTAAATGGTCATTTTGGGGCAATTTTTGAGTGGGGTCCACTTCCGATTTGGGTCGGGTCAAAGTGGTTTCGGATTGTCCTTGCTTAGGGCTACAATTCGATATATGGTACACTCAAAACGGATAACGGGTGAATGAGAAATTGATTCTTGAAGTTCACTCGTTGGAATGATGGAAACTAGGAAAATGATGGGTTTCTAGTGTGGTTTTCCCACACCGGAAAACCCAAGGGAATTTGAACCCATTATAAAGGGAAACCCCCATTAAGGAGTTAAGATTCGTTAGGGTAAAGACTCTCTCCACGCGCGCAGGGGGGTGCGAATCAAATCCCGAAACCGGAGAACAAAAAACCCGACTTATGTGCGCGGGCGACCTGCGAACACGAATGTCGTCCGAAAATGCTATCTTCTAAAGATAAACGTACGGCCAGAAGCAGTTAGTGAGTCGAATACAGTCTTGAGTCAAGCTGAGGAGATGCAAATGATCTTAAACGAAATTCGAGATGAAGGAATGACAGGTAGTGAGTCGTTCCAAGTGGCGTCAATTATCCATTTATTGCCGCCAGCTTGGAAGGATTTCAACTACCTTAAGCATAAGCGAAAGGAAATGAACTTGGAGCAATTGATCCTCCGTCTGCGGATTGAAGAGGATAACCGGAAGAACGATGGGAAACTCCCAATCATTCATGGCGCCAAGGCAAACATGGTGGAGCATGCAAAAGGCTCCAAAACCAAAAATAATGGGAAGAGCAAGCTTGGTCCCAAGGGAGGCGTTTCCAAGACGAAGTTCAACGGAAAATGCTTCAATTGCAACAAGAATGGACACAAGTCCTCGGATTGCAAGGCACCAAGGAAGAAGAAAGACTCCCAAGTCAACTTGGTGCAAGGTGGGTCAAAGGATGAAGACATCATCCTAGCGGCTGTGGTTAGGAAGTCAACCTCATTGGATCCAATTCCAAGGAGTGGTTCGTGGACACCAGTGCAACCCGGCACATTTGCTCAAACAGGGAGTTATTCACTACTTTTGAGCCATCAAACAGTGAGAAAGTGTGGATGGGAAACTCGGCTCATTCCGCGGTTGAAGGCGTGAGCAAGGTGGTCCTGAAGATGACTTCGGGCAAGGAGCTGACTCTAAACCAAGTTTTGTTTGTTCCGGAAATACGCAAAAACCTGATTTCCGGTTCGTTGTTGAACAAACATGGCTTTCGCATGGTTTTTGAGTCGGATAAATTAGTTTTGTCCAAATCGGGAATGTATGTGGGCAAAGGTTTAAGCTCATTGTAACGACTATTATTATTAATAATAATAAAATCTCTTCTTCTTACTTGCTAGAGTCTTCCAATGTGTGGCATGGTAGACTAGGACATGTTAATTTTAATTCTATACGTAGATTAATTAACATGGAATGCATTCC